TCTTTTTTCCAACGCACCACTGATACTGTTTTTCTCTTCTCCATCTTTTTTCACAGCTCTGGTTGGAGGAATGAAGCACAAGCAAGTCAGAGTAAGTAGTAGTTCACATCTTGATGCAGTCAACACCTCTTGAGGTCATTTCACAGAATCACAGAATCCTAGGGGTTGGAAGGGACCTCAAAAGATCATCTAGTCCAACCCCCAACATTTCAGCTTAGAGTTTAGAATAGTGCATCACAGCCTGTTTTCATGATGTAGCACAGAGATAACCCCGTTTCTGTTAGTTGAAGCTGTGGGATTGTGGCATCAGAGTTTAGCAGAGGCCAGCAATCTATGCTGCTATGCTATGCTGTTTCCAGTACTTAAGCAATTACATTTAGTGCTTAGCCTGTTGCTACCTTTCAGAGTGCAGTGTATAGCAAGTATTTGCAAAACTTTTGAAAGTGAAGCACTCTGACCTTCCATTCAGGTCATTAAGCCATGTCCATATTCAGTAACTGCTCTGTAAAGGATATGTATATATTGGGTAATAACTTATCTTTTCACATCTGGTTAATTCTGTGCATTGTTTCTCTTCTGTGCATGAGGATGTACGTTGCATGTATGCATAACTCTGCTTTTTCCTCACCTTTCCAAACAGTAATGTAATTAAGGAATGCATATTCTAACAACAGAATCATGGGCAATGAGTTATGTCCCGGTTGGCTGGTCCATGCAGCTATAATACTCTGTTTTCGCCCCAAGAGGTTTTCTTTACAACCATAGCACTTAGAGACTTACAGCTGAGAGCTGATACATCACAGTGTACTTTGAGGTCTGCATAGATCTGCTTTACCCTGTTCTTTGTCTGCAGAGGAGATAATGTCCGACAGCTAAACAGTATGGCAAGACCTGGAAATACACTGTCCCTCCAGGCTTTAATGTAGTGTAAATAGGGAGACGGAAGAAACTATTGCATAATGCTAATACAGTAAATACAGCAGTTGCTTACACTAAACAATTTTCTAGTGTTACCAAAACACATAATGCTTTTTCCTGTATCCTTAACAGTCTCATGCATTAGAGGAAATGAGAAAGCATGACACACTACCCAGGTCTTCTCAACTCAGAAGCAAGACTTGGTGTGTGGCTCTTGGAGCACCACCAAGGAGCTCTACTCTGACACTACTGTGTTAGTATTCATTAATGAATATTTAACCCTGTTGGAATGAAATTGTCTTCTAGGAAATTATGGATTATTTTAGTACTCATGAAATATCTGACACATTGTGACAAAGGCAGTGGTTTTAAAGAACAGACATTCCAACTGATTAATCGATGTTAACATAAAAATGTGGATTTCTTCCTGCCCTCCGAATCCACTGTCAATCAGACTTTGCAAATCAACATACAAGGCTACACAGATGGATTTTATGTTGTTGCAAATGGTGCCAAGTGCTGGCTCTGACAAACTGTGAACTAGAAATTGTGCCAACAGAAGAGCAAGTCAGCCAGTTCTGCACTGCCCACTGGAGCTCTGCTCAGAGGAGCAGGAGCCTTTTCCCACATAGAAGAGTTTCTGTAAGCACTGTTAAGAAGCAACTTAAGCATCTGGAGTCAGTCTTGGGAAATAAACTAGGCATCTTATGACAGGCAGAATCCAGACAGGCTGCAGTTGCCTATTGGAACAGTTCTTTCCTTAGCACTCAGCAGAGGTCCAGACTTTGCTTCTTCATCCCCCTCTGGTACCCTTAAATAGAAGTCAAATAATGGCTGACAGTGGCTTTCATAAGGCTTCTCAAAGACACTCAAACCTATCCAGCACCACAGCTGAGATTTTAAATTGAGTTTTGGTCATCTTCTTGCAAATCTTTACATGGGATCGATCCTGTGTTTCCTTCACTTCTTTGGAAATCTCTAGCTGACATAAACAGGAACAATGTTTCTTTAGGCACCATTTAACCATTTATTTTGTCATAGTTACAGCAGCTAAACTCCTTAGGAGCAGAAGTCCTTTTCAAACCAAAAGAGTTTGTCTTTGTTTCCATGTCCATAGCGTAGACTTTGTTCTAGTGAGAATTTACTGTTTTTCTGAGGAAACAGCATGGTGCACTTTCAAACATAGTATAGCTCAGCTCTTACCAGAAAATGGAGTTTAAAAGGTACAAAAAATGTGTGTTCTGAGTCTTATAAATTGACAGTTCCAAAGTGGGAGTGACTTTAAATATGCCCTGTTAAACTGCACCTTACAACTTGTTTTCAGTACATATGTTTTAAATAAGGAATTTACCTTTCAGACATTTTCCAAATTTCTGAATGCTGGTGGTAAATTATGCTTTACCACTGGGCGGTCAGAAGCCTCTTGTTTTGTTGTTTTTTTTCCCCTGAGTTGGAAGGGACCTTTAAGATCATCAAGTTCCAACTCCCCTGCATAAGCAGGGACACCTTCCACTAGAACAGGCTGCTCAAAGCCCCATCCAACCTGCCTTTTAACATCTCCAGGGATGGAGCCCCCACAACATCTCTGGGCAGCCTGTTGCAGTGTCTCACCTCTCACCACCCTTACACTGAAGAATTTACCACTTGCTATTGCTATCGGGTTGGATAAGTAATTATGCTTTCCTCTGGTTTGCAGTTTCTGGGAGAAAACACTTATAAACCTGAGATTAAAATGTCCGTACTGTTTCTTTTTTTCTGGGTTGAAATATATTTTTTAATTAAAGTAGGGAACTTTGTTGGAAAAAGGAGAAAAGTTATCTTCATGCCACCCATCTAAATACCTGCATCATTCTCATTTTAATGTGTTCTTCAGAAATTCCTTGTATTGGTCACAGCTGAAAGACACTGTTAAAAACATTATACTCCCAGGAGCTGAAAAAGAGCACTTGCAGCCAGCCTGCCTGTTTACTTATACATATGCTGTACTGCAGGATTCTTTCATTCACAGGTTGGGAAGCTTGAAATAGCATTGTTTTATACTGCTGGATTTTAAGAGCATTCCTATGTGCTTTCTTATCAGTTGCAGAACAGAGCAATAAGCTTTTAAGTGCTAGAGCACTTAAAAACACGAGTGTTGCAGGCTGCAATGCAGGGGATGAAAAGGTGTAGAATCATAGAGTCCTAGGGGTTGGAAGGGACCTTGAAAGATCACCTAGTCCAATGCCCGTGCCAGAGTAGGGTCACCCAGAGCACATCACACAGGAATGTGTCCAGGTAGGTTTTGAATGTCTCCAGTGAAGGAGACTCCACAACCTCTCTGGACAGCCTGTTCCAGTGCTCTGTCACTCTCACAGTAAATAAGTTTTTTCTGATATTTACATGGAACCTCCTGTGCTCCAGTTTGCATCCATTGCCCCTTGTCCCTGGTCATCACTGAAAAAAGCTTAACTCCATCTTCCTGACACTCACCCTTAACATATTTGTAGACACTGATGAGGTCACCCTTCAGTCTCCTTCAAGCTAAAGAGACCCAGCTCCCTCAGCCCTTCCTCATCAGGGAGATGTTCCACTCCCTTATTCATCTTTGTGGCTCTGCACTGGACTCTTTCAAGCAGCTCCCTGTCCTTCTTGAACTGAGGGGCCCAGAACTGGACACAATATTCCACATGCAGCCTCACAAAGGCAGAATAGAGAGGGAGGAGAACCTCTCTTGACCTACTAACCACACCCTTTCTAATGCACCCCAGTATGCCATTGGCCTTCTTGGCCACAAAGGCACATTGCTGGCTCATCCTGTCCACCAGGATCCCCAGGTCCCTTTCTCCTACACTGCTCTCCAGCAGGCCAGCCCCCAACCTGTGCTGGTACATGGGGTTGTTCTTTCCCAGATGCAAAACTCTACACTTGCCCTAGTTGGATTTCATCAAGTTTCTCCCTGCCCAACTCTCCAGCCTGTCCAGATCTCCCTGACTGGCAACACAGCCTTCTGGTGTGTCTGCCACTCCTCCCAGTTTAGTGTCATCAGCAAACTTGCTGAGGGTACACTCTGTTCCCTCAGCCAGCTCGTTGATGAAGATATTGAATAGCACCGGCTTCTCCTAGCTTCTTTTTTAATTTATCTATGCTTGTCTTGCACTGTACCATGATTTCATGTGATGGTGGGAGAACCCTGTGGTGTCCTTCCAGTGTCATGAGGAGGCCTTCAGAGACTAGCTTATTGCAGAGTAAAAATGATGTGAAACCACGTAGTAGCACTAAAGTTACACATGTCCTAGGGCGAGAAGTGGAGAAGTATGAACATGGTGGTAGTTGGATGTTCTAGGGTCTGGTGTTATCATGTGCTGCCAGGCCTAACAGACCCATTTTTCAATCCCTCAGTCTCCTTGCCTCAGCTGGTTGACATGGACTGGAGGGTGGACATCAAGACATCTTCAGACAGCATCAACAAAATGGCAATCCCTACTTGCCTGCTTCAGTTACAGGTAATGTCAGTAGCTGTAAAGGCTACAGGATCAAAATAATCAAGCCAAATGCCTGGCTTACCAGTGGTAGTGCAAAACAATTCAGACAGGTATCTGGTACTTGCCTATTCCCTGGTGGGCAATTAACAGACTTTCTCAGAGATGATCTTTGAAAACCACAGAGCCTGGGAATGACATCTCTGATGAAAGCCCTCATTTTGTTGCAAGGAAGAATTCTCTTTGAGGATGCAAGAAGGCAGCATATTTGTTCCTGGTCATTGTTCTCTACAGAAAGAAAGGTGATTAATCATGAAGTCATTGTCCATTAATTCTAAGGCACTCATCAACGTGTTTAGATGACTGCATTAGTCGGGAAATAACTTTTGATTACTAATAGCTTCCTTCACTAGGCACATCTATCATTTGGAGAGTAAAGATAAACTTAAACTGCCTGTATTCTGCAGAGCTCTGGATCCCCACAACCATTAAAAATGGGATGGATGGGTTTCAGAGGGGAAGAAAAAAAGTCTAATAAAGTCTAATGTATGTGGGATTAAGTTAATTATCCTATGCGGTATTTACTAAGATGTTTTTGATGTGGATGTGGCTTCCTGCCACAAGTCTCTTCAGAATGTCCACATACTTAAGGCAGTATATGCTCACCTGCATTCTGTCAATGGGAGCTCAAACACTTCACTGGTGAGGCATACAGCTTAGAAAATGTGCCATGGTCCTTCAGGATGGGGCAAGATACCAAATTTTAAGCATTTTTCTTTTTTTATTAAAAACGTACTTTTGTAGTGGCACTGGCAAAACTTGTGATTTAAAGTTGAATACAGCTAATGTCTGCATTCCCATTTTCAGATTCAGGAAGATGATGCCATATGTGGAAACAGTCCTGTTGTTTCTGCATTGACTGTGGAACTGAGCAAAGAAACCCTGGACACTATGTTAGAAGGTCTAGGAAGGATCCGGGAACAACTTTCTTCCATTGCAAACAAATGAATACTGAAGGACCTGAATTCCAGCAGCAAGGAAGGGAAGTACTCTCTCCCTACAGTTGCAGTCTAATGAAACATGTATTTCTGTTTTCACAGAACAAAATTAAAGAGATTTCTTTAGTTAATAGCATAGCTTTTGAAAAGCTAACACTTAAGTGTTCCTTTGGTCTGATGCTAAAAAGTGATTTCCTAATATGTTGTTGAGTAAACGTTGGTCTCTATTTCAGGGCCCTCTATTTGAGCTGGGCTTAATCTCAAGGGTCATAACTGGAAATGGTAAATAGCTGCAATCAATGAAGCAAGTGCTATCTCTCTACCCTGAAAAGATCTAAAAGGCTTAAGCTGGTTAATGAGTTGCCTTCCACCATTAGTTGATGAGAAGAGTCCTCTGGCATGTGCATGTACTGGGGTGCATGCTGGATGTGGCACTCTCTCCCTCTCAATGAAGCACAGCCATCCTGCCATGCTGTAGGGCCTAATGAAATTAAGAACTGATAGTTGTGAAGAAAAGAAAGAGATAAAACCAAGGCCTTTCCAGTGTCAGAGTGGCCATATCTGCAGGTAGCTAAAAGTTGCTAACGGAGAATTTAGGTAGGGGCTGTCTACTGGTTCATAGGCATGACAAACATCTGATGCCTTCAAGGAATATATCTCAATACAGTGGTATTTTCTAGCCCAAGATTTAGGAGGGAGGCTTATAAGAGCTTGCCTTCAAATACTTGCCTATAGTGTTAGGTATTTTACTGTTGGTTCTTGCCACCTTTGTCAGAAGAGCTGAGACTACTCAGAAAAAAAAAAACAAAAAAAAAAACCAAGAGGCTGAGTAGGACTGTCATTACCTGACCAGCAAGAGTGCTTCACAATAAAGTCCTACTTACCTGCCTGTTATCACAGGCAGGTGATTTTTTAAAAAATAATTGATCTCTTAAAATCAGTTAGATTTTTATCCTGTCTCCCTATAGTGCTGCTATTTTGTAGGCTAGCCTAAAGGTATCCAGCACTACTTTTATTACCAGCTTGTTCCTGTGCCAAGAGTGGCCTCTTTAGTTTATTATCTCCTACCTTACCATTTTTCCCTCATACTTGTGAAGCTGTTAAAAACCTTCTCCACTTTTGATGACTAAGCCTAGTAAACTCTATTTTCTGTGCTTTTCAGCACTGTAGTGGCCATTCTTCAGTTACTGTTTTCATCTCCCTTGGATGGGGTCACTACAATTTTCAGTTCTGGAGAAGAGTCAGCCAAGGACGTGAATAGAGACTAGAGCTGTTCTTGAATGTGAATCAACTGAATTAACTCCTCCTTCCAGGAAACTACAAGCCTTCACTGTGGAGCACAAAAACTTAGCTTCATTCCAATATTTGAGGAATAGAAAAACCACCTCCTACATGTGCACTGTTTATCAGCTCATAACTGAGTTACACTAAGCAAAACTGATACATTTATTTTTTAAGCACATATACGCGAGTTAAATTTGTAATTTCATAATTCAGACATTGTGTAGGATCTGAATGTGTCAAAGTATTGAAAAAGCATTTCAAACATTAAATACTACTTAGTATTCAAAACAAAGTTTTGCTTCGTCTTGCTGCAAGGAAATGTGTTCTTCAGGGAGTTTGGGCTAAAAATTGCTTAGATGATTCCTAGCTTCCACTGCAATTAATGATCTTTAAACATTGGTTTAAAACAGTAGAAGACTTTGCAAGCCTTGTGATGGTTTGGTAAAGCTGTAACAGTTACTCTGTGTTTTAAGTTTTGGGTTTAATGTGTGAAATTTACATACTCAAACTCTTCCAAAACTATGATCTTCACTTCAAACAAGTGACTTTGTTATTAGTAATCTGGTTTAGAATTGCTTTGACCCATGAAAAAAAAATGTTTCAGTTTTCTCTGACAATTTTCATTAGAGATAATAGTTTATATTTAACAATGTATATAGGATCCCCTGCCTAGATGAGGACCGAAAAAAGGCTTTGTAGGTAACAAATTTCTGATAGATCTCTTCTTAAGTGAACAACATCTCTCTTAAAAATCACAACAGCCCAGCTTAAATTCAGTTCTTGGTACCAGGTACAACATATCCAGCAGTGTAATTTCCTCAGCTGCTTTATAACTAGTAATTCTGAGTCATAATAACACTTACAGAAGTAATTTAATGACTTCACTAGTCTTTCTCACATACTGTTTAGAAGTTTCATATTGCTAATTGTATAAAGATAAGGTAGGTGCTTACAGTTGCAATAAATCAGTGGCAGTACTGGGAGTTGAAGAATCCCACCTCCCCAGAACCTTTTCTAATTAACTGATCCCGTAGTCAGAAACTATTTCATGACACAGTAATTACACTAACTGTCATATTTTTCCCACATCTACACAGAAATTGTGCAGGTAGATGCTGATTTTTTCCTTTATTTTTAATGTAAGAGGTTAGTAATGCTTGGGACATTTGGGCCTTGTTTGTTCAATAGCTGTCATCTCAAAGGTGTAGCTTGATTAACATTATGTAATATAGGCTCCAGTTTTACCACTTTCTTATAACCACGTCAGGAATATCACTGCACTAGCACAGCACTGTAGCATTACAGTGCAACACCTTAATTTACCCACCATTAGTGTTCAGTAATCCTGCTCAGCATTTTCAAACAAATCTCATGGCTTTCATTTATCTGGCCTCTGCTTGGAAGCACTACAGCTGCATTACAAACACTGGTTACAAATCTCACAAACTGCAGCAGGGAGACTTTTGTAGCAAGCATGATGAGAATGTGCAAAAGACCATGAATTTTTTTAGTTACACTCAAAAAATCTGTAGGTATCCTTAGAAGCCTCCTTGTAGGCAACATTTTTTTGAAGTGACCTATAGCTGTCTGTGAAAACTAAGATGTTATACTGTGACCATCAGTGACTAGGTCACCTGCTAAAGCTTTCATAATGTCCCTGTACTCCCCAGGGCTCATGTGGCGGTCACTAAACAGTCCTTGCCATGTTAAGTGTGTGAGAACCTGACTGTTCCTGCATCCACTCAATACTAACCTCTCTGCGGTTTTAATGCATACGAGTCTTTCCACTGACACTGCTGCTGTGTATGTCATGCCTTTTCCCCAGGAGATGGCGAGCTTGGTATCCTATTTCTATTCCCTCTGCAGTTCTCCGTTAGGAAGCAGCAGGCGGTGCTATTCTAAGAAGTTGCGAGCAACCGAGTACAGAACTATTCACTTTCGCGGCAGAACAGAAAGGGAGATATTATTCACTGGTTAGCAAAAGGTCTCATCTTTTCCATGGATCTCTGATTTCAGTGGCAGAACTTTGTGGTCCCTGTTCCCTACTGTCCTCCTGGATGCTGTAGGCACTGCTCCTTGCCTGTGATCCAGGACGGGGGGTCAATACGAAGAAACACTCCTGAAAACTGAGCAGGTCTTAGCCTGGCTGTCCTGTCTGGCCCTGGCTTTTCAGGAAGACCACAGATGAGTTTGCTTAAGAAAGACATGCTGAAATGAGGCTAAAAAGCTGTTGCATTGCACACAAACCTACAGTAAAACCTAAATAATAAAGCCAGCCTCAAATCAGCCTGAGGTTTTGACCTCTCCCAGAGCTGCTGACCCAACAGTCTTCCAAAGTATGGCAAAATTCACTTTTATACATCACTGTGATGACTTCCTACACCTTGTTGCTACAAAATGTAGCAACACATGTTGCTAGAACTGATAAATGGCTACTGGAGCACCTTAGCTGTCATGGCATGTGGCAGGGTGTGAAAGCAGGGTTAAGACACAGAGGCATTTCCTTCACTAAAAGCAGTTCCTGTAGTCATTGTCATCAGGGTTGAGTTTATGATGCATAGAACAGCAAAAAGCTGATTCCATGTAATGAAAAAAAAAAACCCACTTGTTAATCATGGTTTTGACTAGACATTTACTTATGCCTAGTGCTTAATAATTGACCTTTTGTCCTCAAAACCATGGTGGACAATTGATGTTTTTACATGCCCTGTAGTAATAAAGAGCCATGCCAATGGCATATTCAACATTCTCAAGGTGGTACGTTTTGGAACAGGTTACGCTTCCAAATACCTCAGATGCTTTCAAAGTTCTCTCCATCATCACCTGCTGGTGAAGAATCTAGAACACAGACCTTATGAGGAGGGTCTGAGGGAACCAAGGATGTTTGGGAAAAAGGAGGCTGAGGGGAGACTTTATCACCCTCTACAACTACCTGAAAGGACATTGTAGCAAGGTGAGAGTCAGTCTCTTCTCCCTAGTAACAAAGCAACAGGACAAGAGGAAATGGATGCAAGTTGCACCAGGGAAGGTTTAGATCAGACATTAGAAGAAACTTCTTCACTGAAAGGATAATTAAACACTGCAATAGGCTGCCCAGGAAGGTGGTTGAATCACCATCCCTGGAGGTGTTTAAAAGATGTATAAGTGTGATGCTTACAAACATGATTTAAGCAATGGACTTGGTAGAGTTAGCTCAGTGGTTGGAAGATTTAGGTTATGCTTGGACTTGATGATCTAAAAGGTCTTTTCCAACCAGAATGATCCTGTGATTGTGATCCCTTTTCGCTCAAGTAAGTGCACACAACTCAGTTATTGGAAGAGTAAGCCAGGATCCAAGAGTCTCATCCCAACTCACACAGCAAGCCTTGTGCTCAGGTTGTTTCACCTCTCTCTGCCAGTGAGATACACCATGGTAAAAGCTGGATCATAATTTCCTCCCAGCTTTAACACAGAAGCTGAAAAGCTTTAGTTCTCTGTAAGAGACTGCATAATAGCCTGTGGAAGGACTTCAAGCCAGGACTTGGTGATGGTTGTTTTCAGTTCTCTCCAGAGAGACAGCAGCGGCTGCATGCACAAATAACTGTTGTGTGTCTGCATTAGAGGAACTTACTCTTGCTTAAATTACATATTTATTATTCACTAAACTTGGCACAAGGTGCTAGGCTAGTGACACTAGATTTTTTGAGACTGAGCAGCTGCCATGATTGTTCTGGCTCAAAACTGAGT